AAACGTTTTATTGCAGAAACGTTTTGATTGGAATTCTCGTAAAGTCTTAAGTTCACCAGCAAATGTAATTTTTTCTCATGTGTATATGTAACATAGTCCGTTCATATATGTAGCTTTTTTCGTATACCCATGTAGCTCTTAATGTTATATGTGTTGGATTATATTATATTTACTGAATGTTACACTAAAATAAACTGAATGTCACATACTGTACAAGCGATGCTATACGAAAAAGTTACATTTGTCAAACTAGTTGGATGTGGGACTTGAGACAATTTCAATAATTCTAGCCAGCAGCCCAAGGAACTAGAGAGAAATTATCTCTATATCCATGGTTGTAGATTACATTGTCTCTAATTTGCTAATCTGGCAGTTATGACATTATGGAGTTTGATAGAATCGGTTATACTAAGACTTAAACAATTGGTTATTCTATGTTTATTCCAGCTTCATTTGTTTATTGGTTCTCAGTTGTATTATAAGTAAAATGGCTGATGAAATCGTTAAAAATCATTAGATTGCCATCCTTTTTGCAAACAAAAATTGAGAGTGAAATTCTTGGAGAATTTATGGGTTTGTATTGGAGATTTAGAGAATACTTGTATATTTAAAAAGAAAAAAAAGGGAAAAAAAAACAGTAGAGAGAAACTGAGAAGCATTCATGTATTCTGAGTTCTTGTTTTTCTTGCTGAGAGATTGAGGGTGTGACACATCTCTTTAGTAGATTCAACTAGGAAGATAATCTCAACCTTGGATGTATGGTTGTTCTTATCAATCCGAACCTTGTCTTATTCATTTCGATAGTCGTTGGTTTTCTTGATCTTATTATGTTCTCCGGTCGTTTTTTGTGTGAATTGTTTTGTAGACAAGAGGATAAATTTCTCATACTTTTGCTGAAACCGAGTCATTCAAACATTCACCAATAGCAAGAAAATGAAAAATGCTTACACCAAAATTAGTAGAATATGAGCCTATCTATAGAATTCGTACTATGAGACTCACTTTCTATTAATGTGATATTGAATATCACTGATTTCTCGTGGTATTTTTTCTAAAGAAACGATCCCTCTAGCAACACATGTCAGTGCGGCACAAGAGAAATGAATTCAAGTATTGCCACAAAGAGGGACGGATAATTTCCCAATTTGGTGTTCAAGGAGGAAGGTATAAAATCAATAATGGATATGGATGGGTCTACTTCTGTGTAGCAAAATCTTAGCAAAATTGTACAGAGTCATACACATCCGCCAGATAGTAACCAAAACTTTCTTTCAAACTTCATCATATATAATGTGTCACATATGTAACATGTTTGGCAAGTTGCCTTTGTACTTTCCTTTCCTTTTCCCCCTGTTTCGATATGTTTTCTATCCTATTTATAATGAGTTCAAATTCAAGAGATATTTTCATAACTCATATAATATCATATATATATATGGGTGTGTTTTTTATGTGTATTATATATATATATATATATATATATATATATTCATAAAGAGAGCAACCGACATTGTTAGTACCTGTTACGATGAACTTAATTGAACCCAAAAAAAAAAAAAAACTACCTAGGCTAGAAATCGACCGTCAATGAAGACGGGTGGATTATGAATAAAAATAGCAAATATGCATCACTTTTTTCTTTCATTTCTTTTTTTTTTTTTTTTTTTCTAATTTTTTTTTTTTTTTTTTTTTTTTTTTTTTTTTCTAAAACTTATTTGGTTTATATATAAACATTAGCTTCTATTGTCGGTGGCGTGACACTGACATTATATCTACCACTACATTATCATAACAGTCATCAGTATGTTTCCACTGATGATGAGTTTAGTCACCTAGGATCTCGATTTAGTTATGATGATTTCGTAATTTGTTTTAGTATTTTTGTGAAATTTTGTATTGCGTTTCATGAGACTTAAAGCTTCTAAAAGCCCGATTTTAAAGCTTTTAGGTAGATGAAGATTGACATCAACAATAGATTTGTAATTGTATTAGGTAAAAAAAAAAAAAAAAAGCCTAGGTTAGAGACATATTAAAAGAGCCAAAATTTTATTTCTATTACGAAATCATGTGCACGACAATTAAAAAAAAAAACGTGCGCAATGAAATTATCCACATGTTCTTTGTGAGCCCGTTTATTTCATATATTCAAACTCAAATCATTAATTTTGTTATAATGGTTTTCTCTCACAAAAAATTTAAAATTCACACGTCATAATCAAGAATCGTGGTTTAAGTATACCTTTCAAATGGGCTATAATTGTGCTAGGATTATTGCTCTGAAGCAATATACATGTTATGGATTTGAGACAATTTAAAGTTTTTATTTGCTTAGTACATCATTTGTCCTAAATACTATTATTGGGATTGATTGTAACAGCTTAACAAGCGAAACGAAAAGTACCAAAGACTATTAGTATTGATCCTTACATTATGCATATACGGTGTTATATGTCGGAAGATATATTTTCAAGGTAGTAGTGTAAATTAATAGTATGCAATTTTTATAAGATTATTGTTTGTTTACTTTTTTGTGTGATGTGATTTATTTTGACTATTAGAGCGCATTCGCAAAGAACGATATACATAAGTGTGAATATATATTGAGTTGTACCTTAATAAATTGAATTCACTTTCATGATTATTTATATGACCACCTTATCTTGAGTAATTGTATATTTATTGGTTGCAACTTTAATGTGTCAAAGAGTGACTTCGAGTGACGTGCTTTAGCATCCGGCATGTTGGAGACATAAGCCATAAATGATTACAGTTACATTTTTCATAAATTTGAAATTCATAGTTCTTTTTATAAGGAGTTAATGATACCTTAAACAGTATTCGAGACTTAAATAATATTATTAGAGATCTTGGTCATTTAGTTATAGGAATTACTAAAATGATTTCTTTTTCTATTTATAAGGTTCTGTAAATTGGATTCTCCAAAATTAAATAACGAAAGCCAATTAAGAACCTAAAAAGTTTAGGATGGAGTAATCTAAAATATAATTTAGAGGCAATCATTCATATTTGGATAAAAACAAGTTACAATAACTCTAATCCGCTTGCGTTATAATAATGTGATTTTACAATAGGGAATAAAAAAAATACCGTATTGGTAAGATTCGATTTCAAGCCCTCAAATCTATATAAAATTTTTCAATTTTGTATGTTTTTTTTATTTTATTAAATCTAACATTTAGACACATGCAATATATGTACTCTTGTAAACAGTTCTTTTTTCTAAACCTAAAACTACAGCGAGAAACACATTGGGAAGAGTTGAAGGGACCAATAAAACTGCATGTGGCATTTTTATAAGTATATTTAACATATTCAAATAACATGTCATGAAAACTATTATTATTTAAATCAAGATAGAATCCCGACCACATTTAAGCCTTATAGAACTTCTCTTTTGGTATTGAAAAATGTAATATCTATGAAGTTTAAAATTAAAAAAAAAACTTGTTTATTTATGTTTTTTTTAAATGTTTATGCTATTAAAAAGTATTAAAAATATATTCTAACGTAAATTTCCTTAATTTCTATACGATTTTTCTATTATTTTCACATATATCTTGATATTTTTTCTGAAATTTTTGTAAATCTAAAGTACCGATATTTTCACTAATACTGGTATTTTCATCCTTGCTTATACATACTGAACCTAAAAATGCCAACCAGCCAAAAAGCTAATGTCACGATCATGCACTTAGATAAAGGCTTTACCTTTATTTCTTTTTTTTTCCCCCCCTTTTTGCCTTGGCTCATCTCACTCTTGGCAAAATGATCACTATGGCAAGTATATAATATCACTATATACCTCGTTGCTACCAAAGTGAAGAAACTATAAAATGTGGCTAATATACGCAATTCATGAATTGGAGAATATTAAGGTGGTATATATTGGAAGTATGTGGCCCAAGTTTTCATCTCCATCAGATAGGCATTTGGAGGAATTTTTTGTCTGTACATAGAAGAAAAGTATTATAATTTATTTCTATACGTTAAACTCACTTGGTAATTGTTCCATGGAAGGACTGTGTGTCTCAGTCTCACTGTCACTATTCTGTCGCAATTGAGCTTTAATTATTGAAAGAGAAAAGTATTTGGTTTGTTATGATTTTGTAAATATTTATTATGTATGTCATTATAAATAATTAAATATTATTATGATTTTTAATTTTTTTTATTTATTGTATGATAATTATTTATTTTTACGTGAAACGATATTAAATAATATTTTTAATCGTAGTATGTCTGATTTTTAATTAGTCAATGAATATTTTACTTTATGACAGAATATTAAAAGTATCACAATATATCTGGTTTTTAATCAATCAATGAATATTTTACTTTATGACAGAATATTAAAAGTATCACAATTTAACGGAATTTGGTGATAAATTTAACGGGCATAAAACAGTTAAAAGCTAATACTTCTTAATGGAAGGGAACAATTTCAGTTAAATTAGGTACAAGTACAAACAAACAAACAAACAAAAAAAAAAACCCCCCTTTCAAAGAAAAAAGAGTACAAAAACCAACCAATTTAATGGCCTATAAATTTTGGGCCAACATTCATGAAAATCCTTTGTAAACAACAAAGCAATATTACCAGACCATTTAACTAACCTTGATACTCATGAGACAAACCACAGTAATATAAATGAGCTCTGCTTGCCTGCACAGCACCATGACTACAACGACCAGCTCTCAATAACAATGCCTTCCCTAAAGGAAGCAGCGACTGAGACAGCAATATAGCTATAATATCATTCCCTTGCAGTCCCCAAGTCAAGTCACATATATATATATATATACACGTATATACATACATATATATATACACCGAAACATACATGTATATATATATATATGCACCAATATCCCTTGCTCTTCTACGCCTACAGATTCCAAGAGTACTCTCACTCTCTAGTGGTCTAGTAGTAGTAGTGGCTGCACCCAGAGGCGGGGGCGGAGGAGGCGGCGGCGCGAAGATGCGCAGCATGGCGAGCTCAGGCTCCAAACGAGGCATCGCGGCGGTGGTCGGGGTGGGGCCCAAGCTCGGCCGATCCATTGCCCGCAAGTTCGCCCATGAGGGTTACACCGTCGCCATACTGGCCCGTGACTTAGGTACCACCACTACTACTTTATTTTATCACAACTTATCTTTTCTTTTTAGCATATTGAATTAGCTGACAAAAAATGAAAATTAACTCGCAGGGAGGTTGTCGAGATTTGCGGACGAGATAGCGAGGGAGGAGAAAGCGCAGGTTTTCGCCATAAGAATCGACTGCTCGGAATCGAGGAGTGTGAAGGAAGCATTTGAAGGGGTTCTGTCGTTGGGATTTGTAGAGGTTTTAGTCTACAATGCGTCCCAGCCAGTGGCTCGGCAGTACCCGACCAACTTCGCTGACATTCGCATCGATTCCTTCGAGAAATCGCTCGCGGTTTCCTCTGTCGGCGCCTTTCACTGCGCTCAACAGGTGAAACCTCGATTTCGATTTCTCATACCCCTACACTAAGCCTGCAACCATTTGATTAAATTTTTTTTTTTTTTTTAAGGTTCTTCCGGGGATGGTGGAAAGAGGAAGAGGGACAATTCTCTTCACCGGCTGTTCGGCTTCTTTAAGCGGCATTGCCGGTCACTCTGAACTATGTAAGAATTCAAATAATCCCTTCACTTGAGATAGAAATATCCGTATTCATATTCATATTCATATCAGGTTGTGGGAAATTCGCGCTAAGAGCACTATCGCAATGCCTGGCGAGAGAGTTCCAACCACTGGGTGTGCACGTCGCTCATGTTATCATCGACGGTTTCATTGGCCCACCAAGGTTCCTTGCCTTTCCAATATTCTCACTTTATTAACCCACATATATATATATTTACACATAAATTCATTCATCTTAGCCAAAATGTTGAGAAAGGTATTATTAAACTCATTAGTTTACTTCCTACTTTTTTTTTTTTTTTAAATCGCAAAACCCAATAAAATTGTAGTCGTCAAATGAAAATTGTTGTGTGTGTGTGTGTAAATATGTATATATATAAATGCAGGGCTGGAGGGGTAGGGGGAGGAGGGAATAGTAGTACAGGTACAGGGCAGAGGACGTCGGTTGGGGAACAAGTACAGAGCGGAGGAGGGGACGGGTCAATGAACCCAGACGCGCTGGCTCAAACTTACTGGCACTTGCATGTTCAGGACCGAACCGCTTGGACCCAAGAGATTGACCTTCGTCCTTCCACCTCTAGATTCTGCTAATTATATAGTCATATATATATATATATATATCCATCATTTCCTCGTAACGGTTTCATCAATACCAACTCCAGTATATGAAAATTACCCTAATTTTCCCTTTTTATTTGCTTTTTTTGTTTGTTATAAAGTGATGGGTTCATCAAGTACTACCACCACTAGGCACTAGTACTTCTTGGTTGGTTGGTTAATACTTGATTAGACTTGGCTATTAATTGGCTTAAATGGCTAAATTTCATGTGATTAAAAGTGTGGATATTACATGTTTTCAAAAGCCTACTTCCAAGCCATTTGCTAGGCCAACTTACCTCATGGAGGATCCCACAAAGGAGAATTCCCAAAGTTAGAAAGTTGGATCCCACAATTCCCCCACTCGCGCTTATCCCCCGCAACGTGATCACAAGATCGTCATCAGCTTACAAAACCAGCCTATGGAGTTAGCTAGCACTTGTATTAATATGTTTGCTATGTATACTGTATGAGTGATACTTTCTCCCCCTTTTTTTTTTTTTATTGATATCTTGTTTGTAATTATTTCTGTTTGATGATGTTAGTTTGGTTTGGTTTGTTTTTCTTTTTTTTAAATTTTTATTTTGGTTCGATTTTTGGTCCCCAAACATGCATAGTTTCTCAACGCAATGTAGATTTTCAGTGAATCTCTTTTCTTTCTTCTTTTTTGTGATGAGAGTGAATCATTTGATTTGTTAAAAGTGACTCTATTTGTAGAATCTATATGATTGGAGAAATAGATTTGTCAATGTCGGCCAAATGTTGATATTACTTTACATTTCGTTTCATTCCTCCTTTTACTGTGCGGTGAATCCAAGTAGAAAAAGTTGCGCCAAAAGAAAAAGTAGAGGTGGGGAAGTTAGGAATGGGGACGCCAATACATGGATAGAACGAGGACTTCGTGTCCCAATTTAGGACACACACACACACACGCGCCTTTCCTAAACATTGGGTTTAGGATAAATTTGAAGAAAACAAAAGTCACGAGATTTTATGATTGAATACCTTACTAATAAAACTCTATTTTGGAGTATCATTCTATCAATTTTGCACATTTAATATGATTTTGATCATATTTAAATGTCCCTAACAAATAAGCTTCCAAAAGTTCCTCAGCAAAAACAGCTCCCAAAAGTAAAATAGATAAAAAGTGTTTTTCCTAACAATCAAAGGATAGAAAACGACAAGAATAGGAAGGGGGTATGTGCTGTCAGTCAAAAGAGGCTCAGCAATGGATACTTTGTAGGAGGAGCCGTCATTTGGTTTTAGGTCTAGTGGGACTAACACAGTGACACTTGTTTGATGACGCAATAAAGTCCAATACCAATATTATTATTAGTATTATCTTATTTTCTTATTTTTTGGAAAGGGCATACACAAGTCCCATCTCAAAAGTTGATTAAAGCAACCCATATTTGGCGTTACCCTTTTGATTGTATTGCTTGGTTTGTATCGCTGTACCGAATATGTGATGACAAGATTACCAATAATGATATGAAAATGATGAATGTTTAGCACTTGACCAAATCTACTCTAATTCAATTGGTTAGTGCAAAGACCTTGAAGTATATATCCCATAACCCATATTCTAGATTCATCCATACAATTTATTATTATGTGTGTATTTCTGGTCTCCCTACTATGATTGAAGCGCCAGAAAACTAAGCCCCACAAATGGTCCCAATGATAAAATGCCTTTCATACAGAAATGATATTGCAGATATGCTTTTGTCGCCCCACCATTGGTTTACAGCCAGAGACTTTAGGCCCCAGCTGACAGCTTCTGAGCTTGGTGAGATTTATTTATTTATTATATATATATATAAATATATTTTGTATGTATATATATATATATACATACATACATATATATATTGGCTGAAAAAAGCTATGCTTGGTGAGTTAGTTCCACAAAAAAGTTTCATCCATTCAACCTGTCTGACATTAGATATTAAAGAGACTTCTACTTTCAAAGTTTCAGGCCCTAACCAACGGAGAAGGTTTGTGCATCGTAAATGAGAGAACAAAAATCTTTATAACCAAGCTCAGATATTTAAACATTTCAAAAAAACAAAAAACAAAAAAAGGAAAGGAAAAGCAGACAGGGATAACAAAATAAGTGCATACCTTTTTTTTTTTCCTTCCGTCTGGAAAAGTCCTTCACGACATGGTGGTGGGTGGATTTGCACATAAAACAATGCCGAAAAGTCCGATTAACGTAATAAACAAAGAGCAAAACAAAACAAAAAAGAAAAAAGAAAAAACGCACTCACGAAAGACTAAGAGATTAATCCAGAGTATAATCATAGTACTGTAGTGGACTAAAACGAAAATAGGAAATGGAGGCAACCACTTTACACCTCAAAGTTTCAAGCAAGCTGTTTGACAATGAGCAGATTGTATCACTAGAGGAGAGAAAAAATACAGAGAACAATTCTGATTTCAATACCTCAAATATTCAAGTGTGTCCATCATAATAACTAATGTGGCTATATTTATAACTACCCACAAAACGATAACAAAATAAACGGTAAGACATACGAAGTACCAAACAAATAACAAAATCAAAGCTAAGTTGGTAAGCTAAACAAACAATAATACAGATAAAAAGAAAGGGTTACTAATTTGGGCATTAACAAAATCATAGTTCCAAAAATATAATGCACAATTCGGGCACAATGGCAGCTCATTTTCGAGTTTGGCTGATAATTTTCGAAGAGAGCAAAATGCAGAGACTTGCAGATATACAGCATATCCAAACTCTTACTTCCTCTGCCCATGTTTGTACAATGTCCTGTGAACATCTTGCTCTAAAAAGCCACTCAAATTCCTAAATTCAAAATTATAGCCAGGATTTACAGAAGCATGGCTGGTATAAATAGGTCAAAACGATGATGCTAAGGTGCAGAGATAACAAATGCAACTGCATAAGATCTAGAAGGAAGTCTACCATGATTTGATCCGCGCTTTCCACGCTCCTATCTTCCCATAAACAAGGGTAAGGTGCATTCCTTTCTTGAGATCCTAGTTGATATTGGTGATGAACTCGTGGAGGATCTGAACATGTTTGAAAACTTACCAGTGCTAGGGCAAGTGAATTTCTCATACCCCTAAAAATGTTCAGATGGTCTAACCATGGAGTCTTTTTGTTGATCACAATAACCCATTATGGTTGGATCCACGTTCTTATCCTCCCATAAACATGGATAAGGTGCACTTCTTTGCTGAGAGTTTTCTTGATATGGGCGATGAATCCATCGAGGATCTAAACATGTTTGAAAACAGGCATCTTTACTAGTACTAGGGAATTTTTTTTGGAAAGAGAATTTCTGATACCCTTTAAAATGTTCAGATGTTCTAAACCTTGGATCTTTCTGTTGATGATCACTATAATCTATCATGGATAGATCCACTCTCCTATCTTCCCATAAACGAGGGTAAGGTGCAGTCCTTTGTTGAAATTTTTTTTGATATCGGTGATGAATCCGTCGAGGATCTAAACGTGTTTGAAAACTTGGACCTTTACTAGTACTTGGACAAGTGAATTTCTCATACCCCTCAAAATGTTCAGCTGCTCTAAACATTGAATCTTTTTGTTGACGGTCACTATAGACTCTAGAACCCTGAATTTTAGTTTTCCGAAGTCTATCAACGTAATCCCTCCCTTTCTTGGATTCATTGGTTTTTCTCATTTTAGATCTTCCTTCAGAAGGGAATTCTTTCTGGCACTTCTTACCTAATCATCATTAGACAAGGGAGAAATAGAATCAATACTTGTCATCAGATAATGGTGAAATAGAAGTAATACACTTAAAACAGCGAGGGGAAACAGTAATTAAAAGCTTTATGAGTGTGATAGAGAATCAACAACTCTGCAATGAAGGGGGAAAAAAGAATTAAAAAAACAGAGAGAGAGAGAGAAGCAATCTCTCTCTTACACATGCACACACATTAGAGAAATTGCACCATTCCATCATACCCCTATTAGAAGTCAAGTTCTGTGTTTTCCTCATTGCTCTCTCAGACCTAGCTGCATCACCTCGCCTGTGCTTTTCAGCGAGCACTTTCAGCCTCTCAGCTTCGTCATGCCAACACTATAAATCAGGAAAAACCAAAATTTTAATGGCACAAAATCATTAACCTCCAAGTGACGACTGACGAGCAACATGTCCCTTAACCAGCTCACCTGTCTGAAAGTTCTCATTCTATAGAGATTACGGCCCTTTACAAGCAAAGGAAAGAGTGGAGGCAACTTCTTAACTCCCCTACTCCAAAAAACTTCAACCTAAAACATGACAAGCACTAATCAAATAGAAGAACCCAAAATTTTCAATTAACAGTGTGTCCTCTAATCATATTTGATTAATAGTCCCGCAAATGTCAAGTCTCTAGAAATGAAGAAACCCACTGCCAACCAAGGCTCAGAATCACGTAATCTCAACCCCAAATGCAACCCTGATGAAGCCTTACAGTAAAGGTATGTTGTTGTTTGGCTGTGCCATAGCTTTCCTTAACAACTCTTCCAACAACAATTCTCTTCCCTAGAACCCGCCCATGTCTCAATCTGTTATTCAACCAAAGACAACGCAAAATAAGAGAACTTAGGCTCTATCAAAGAACATAATAATCTAAAATAACGAGGACAAAAAATAATGCAAACAAGAATACTTCTCATAAACTTTCTGCCTAAACAGGACAACATCTCCCTTGCAGACATCACCTGCATCGAGTTTTACACTACTTAGAACAATCGGTGTACTGCTCTTCTTAGACAAAAGGGGAATAAAGGTGACAGGGCAAGTGCAAATGAAAAAGTGTAGAACCATTTACCAGTACAATTGATGGAAAATGATGGTCTAGGATACAAGGTTTCACCATTTCCATCTTTTAACCTAACACATAAAGTAGATCACTCAATATATATCCCCTCAAAAAACAAAAAAAAACAAAACAAAACAAGAGGATTCGAGGTCTGAAAAAGTACCCTACAGGTGGAAAACTGTTTTTACAAAACAAAACTAAACAAGAGGATTCGAGATATGAACAAGTACCGTACAGGTAGAAAACTGTTTTTACCGTTAGAGTTTCATCCATACCATAATTTGATATGATTCTGATGTAATCTAATAGTTAAAAACTATATCCTATCAGTGAGATATTTTTTCATTATATCAAGGGAAAAAAACCACAAAAAATTCAGCAATTTGTAATCTTCTTAATCAAACTTTATTTCCACAGTGTAATATAGATAATGTACCTCCAGTGCTCCTTAATTCTCTGCAAACAAACAGACTTATTCCCGGATAATCTAAGGCCATAAGTCCTTAAATACGCTTTGCAGTCTTTAAGCTTCAAAGAATCTAATTCCCTATTTTCTGCAGAAGACAATACACAACATAAGCCGGAAAAGCGACAACTAGATTGTGACAGACGCAATTTACCTTTTGTTAGGACCAAACGCCATTGCTGAATTAAGCCAAGAAATTAGTGAAATTCAAAAAAAAAAAAAAAAGCCTAAACAATGATTTCCTTATGCACGGAGAAACGCATAAAAGATTCAAATTTGAGAAAATGCGAACTGGAAAATTAGCAATTCGGTAATAAGTTAACTAATCAACCATGCACCTATTTAGAATTAAGAATTGAAAAAATAAAATAAAAACCTGTCAAAAGGCGAATAATTTTGTTGCAAAGCGACTCATCGTCATCGTCCTCTTGTTGATCTTTGTTCGGATAGTCAGATTCCTCTTCTTCTTCGCCAATATCGTCATCGCTGCCGTCGGATTTGATGACTTCTAGATCATCCTGATATTCATCATCATCGCTAGAGAGTAGTACTGCGGCGACGTTGTCGTCTTCTTCTTCGGAAGACGAGGAGAGAAAAACGACAGCGCGCTTACCCTTACTCTCCGCCATTTGAAGTCGCCCAAGGGTTGCAGAGAAGAGGGAAAGGCTTTTCTTTTCCACCCTGACGATTGGACTACGTCATATTTATCGGCCATCCAATCGTGTTGTTTTCTTTGTTTGGGTTATTTTGCCGTTCCGTTCACACTTATTTTGGTTTTAATTTTGAATTTAAATTTTATAAGAAAATTATTGATGAGAATTTTTTATTTAAATTTTTTTATAAAAAAATACTATCTTATAATTAAAATTATAATTTTAAAAAATAAACAGATCATTATATTTTGAGTGTATTAAAAAGTTGACATAATATTTAAGATAGTTCCTTCAAATTTTAATTGCATACTAATTTTGTGACCTTTATAGGTCAAAGTTAATTTTAACTAAAGAAAATGAAACAAATACTTTTTAAATTATGTAAGTCTTGATTGTTACTTTTTACTCTTGAATAATACTATTTAATTAAATACTATATTAAGAGAAATTCTAGCAACATTTTTTTTTGTCACTATCTCCACTCACTCTTTGACACGTGGATTTCATTAACATGATATATTATTATTTAAACAAAAAATGAGATAGTGGAGTTCATGTGTCAAGCAGTGAGTATAGAGAGTGACAGAAAGAGTGTCTTTAGCATTTCTTAAAGGGATATTAATCAAGAGTAATGAGTAAAAATATAGACCAATGTATTTCTTAAGATAAGTTTAGTAAACTTCTCTTTTATTATAAGGGAATCTTTACGGTGGAGCAAGCTATTTTGTTCCATCGATGGCACAAGTATTTTCAACCATTAGATTAGTCTTTTTTAACGGTTAGATTTATATATATTCATATTAAAAATTTACAGCGTGTCACATAAAACTGTTTCTGTTGCAGATTGGCCATTAAAAAATTAATCCAACAGTAAAAACACGTGTCTCACTGGTAGAGTAAAATAGTTTGCTCCACTAGAGGTGTAAGTTTATGTAGTCCGGTCTGGGCCTTGCGGCCCAATGAGAAATTTTGGCCCAGTCTGGCCCTAAAAGAGAGAGGGTCAGCCCAATCCGGATCTAAGCACAAAAAGTTTAGGGTTGGTCCGACCTGACCCAAAATTTTATAAGATAGTTTTAGAAAAAAACTTAAAAAATATGATGTTTGGGCCAGGCCAAAACCGGCCCTAAATAAGAGAGGGTTGACCTAACCCGGCCCTAAATCTTAAAAATTTAAGGCTGGGCTTGGGCCAATAATAGCAAACCTTAGGCCGGCCCAAACTTACAACTCTATGCTCCATTGTAAAGACTTTTATTATAGTTATAATATTATTATTAAACTATTCAATTCACAAATTTAGCCTTTGCAACTTGTAGATGATCTTATAATAAAATTGGCATTATTAATCTTAAACTTTGAGCATAGTGACATTTTAATTGTTGAACTTTTAATTTTCATATATTGATCCTTGTAATTTCATTTTTTAATAATTCTGGATCCTGATAATAAAATTGATGATTTTTGAAATTTAACGTAGATAAATATCGTTAATGCATAATAACAGGACATTTTACATAAATAAATACAGTACATACAAAATGCTACATTTTTTAATAGGTTTTAGTAGTACCAAAGGGAATAAAAAATTTACATATAACGTTAACGCATAATAACAGAACATCTTACATAAATAAGTACAATACATACAAAATGCTACATTTTTTAATAGGTTTTAGTAGTACCCAAGGGAATAAAAAATTTACATAGTAACTCTTTCTGTAAAATTTTAAGTTATCACACGGTGGATGCATAATTATCTTTGTTAAATTTTAGACTCAATTTTACTATTAAGAATCAAAACTATCAAAAGAATTGAAAATTCAATGACTAATATACTAAAATTAAAAGTTCATGGATTAAAATATCACTATGCTCAAAGTTTTGGATTCAACAATACCAATTATCCGAATAACACATGAATCACACGTAATGTTTAAAAAAACAATGAAAAAATCATAAAAATTGTATTTTCAAGCTAAGCTGCAAAGAGTAAATTGTTAATAAGCATTTCATCATAAGTTTATCTGTAAACTAAAAAGGGTAAATTTATCAATTTTGAAGTCAAAATTAGATGTTGGTCTAGGAAAGGTAGAAATTTAACATGGACTCAAAATTGAGAGGTACAGTTTTGAGGACCTTCAAAATACAAGGTAACTTCTTTAATAAACTCAAAATATGGAGTATAAAATGGTAAATATCCCTACTTTATCTAAAACAGAGAGAGAAGACAATAAGGTATATGAGTGAGGTTCTTTTTGTCTTTTCGTTGTGAATGCATAAAAAAAGATCATCTCCATCAGAATTAAAACAAAAAAATTATGACATTTTTAAGAATAAAAAAAATATTATTCATTAACTTGAGTTCGAGTTTATGAGCTCGAGTTAAAGGAAAAATTTTAACTCAAGTTTAACCTTAATTCAAAATTAAATTTTATAAAAAAATATGAACTTAAATATAATTGTAACTTAAAATCAAAATTTTTTTAAATTTTATTACAAAAAAAACAACCCCAAAATTTTTCATATGCTTTTCGAAATGGAGCAGAACAATTTTACTTTCTTCAAGAAAAAAGTAGCTGTCTTTTTTTTTTCTTCTCTTAGTTGTCTTTTCAACAATTTTACTTTTTGTTCATAAGCTTGCTTACGGTTTAAAACTTTTATAAATAATTTTGATTTTGAGAGAACTCATTAATGGTAACTTTTTTTTATTTAAAGTTTTTGTGGGAACAAAATTAGAATCATAAGTTTAAGTCCTAAAACTAAAATCATTTTTTAAGATTGTTTTCATTTTTTTTCCTCCTGAACTTGGGATGAAGATTTGAAATTAGACAAAATCACATATAAAATTAATATTATTACTATATACTAAAGGCGAGGCGGGATTCACTGTTCATTATATTGTAAATGAACAGTGAATTCCCGACTTTGTCCCTACTTCCTGATGTTTAACTTTTTCAATACCCATTGTGTCCTGTTATGTTATTTTACGTCTTTACCCTTGATTTTTTCTCATTGTCCGGCTTAATCCGAGGGGCATTTTTGTCTGACTTTTTATTGTTGATTTTTCTGCCTACTCTCTCTCCCTTGGTCTCTGTGTCTTCTGGAGTATTCTGCCGTTTCCTTCTCTCTCTTTCATTGGTTTTGTTTTGTGCTTCTTCTCTTTCATTTCTTTTGCGCCCCAATTGCTTCTCCCATGATTTGGTGATTGTGGCTGGTTCTTTGATTCTATTTGGCCGCAAGTGAATCTCCATGGTTTATGTGATATTTATTGTGGGTTCTTTGATTTCTTTCTTACGGGATTTTTGCCTGATTTTTGGATTTTTTTGCTTCGTTTTGCTGCAGGTTTTTTGAAAATTTTTCTTGCATGTTTCTTTGTTGGTCTGATTTCCTTATTTAGCTTGGTTGCCCCTTTATTTTTTTTATCGAGTCCATGTTCTGCTCCTTTCTGCTTTTTTCTCTTTTTTTTTCTCTTTTTTTGGCTGGGTTTTGTCTTTGTTGGTTTGATTTGCTCATTTAATTTACTTTCCCCTCTGTTTTTGGTCGACTCAATCTTCTGCTTTTTTATCCTTTTTTTCCTTTTCGTTTTTCTTTTCTTTTTTTGGCTTTTGTTTCGGTCGCTGGTTTCTTTTGTCATTGGCCTGCTTCAAGAGATAAATTTTCAGTTTTTTTTTTTTTTTTTTTGCTTTTATTTTGGTGGTTTTTCCTTTCTTTTTGTTTTCTGTTCACTTTTGTCATTGATCTATTTCAGGAGATAAATTTGTGCAGAAAGAAGGTTCTACGAGCATCTTTTGATGTTCTTTGCTGCTGACTTCACCTGGTATACAGGTAAACATGAATTTTTTTGCTTTGGATTGATTAATTTGTTGCTCTGTGATATTTAGATTGCTGATTTGGCTACCTAGGTTGATGATCTGTACCCATATTGTTGCAGATGCATTAACTACTTAGGTTGATGATCTGTACCCTAAACATCGATTTTTTTTAATTAATTTGTATATTTAGACTGCTGATTTGGCTACCTAAGTTGATGATCTGTACCCATATTGTTGCAGATGCATTAACTACTTAAGTTGATGATCTGTACCCATATTATTACAGAGGCATTAAATGAACTGTTTCTTTTTTTTTCTTTATCGTTTATTAATTTCTGAAATTTGTGAAAAATCTAGAAGAAAAAATTGAGAGGTTTTCCTCTTTGTTTCTCTTTTTTTCCCTTTTTTCTGTTTCTTGAACTCATTATTATTTATTTATTATGTTTTTGCTTAGTATACCCGTACGTTGCTTCTGCCACCTGATTAAGCAATCTTGCTTCCCTAATTCTTGCAGACCGACTTTGTTTTGCTACGTGTCCTCTTATAAATCATGTACTGTTGAAATTTTTTCCCTCATTTACTGTTTATAAATGCTGCTGCTATATCGGCATTTTGTTATCTATCTGTCCCTTGCTCTCCCGCTGACTTTGCTTTGTCTCCTTCATATTTCACCTCACGTTATTTACTGCTCTGCTACATTATCAATCATTTATTGCTATTTCTATTCTTGTTCTTCTCCCTTGCGCTTGACTTTCGATCCTTTGCATTCCATCTTCAATCATTTACTACTCTGCTTTAATCCTACTCATTTACTGCTCTAACTTCCTGCCTTTGTATTTACTCACTTTCTCTGCTGATTTTTGAGTGGTTGCTATTTCATATTAAGGCAGCGTTTATAGTGCTCCAGGTATTACTCATAACCTTTGCCTGTAGCCATTCACTATTTGTTACTCAGTGTGGAGATATTCATTTGTTCTGATGGTATTAATGTATGTAGTTTGTGCCTTATTATTTTTCTTGATGAATACTGCAAATCTATGTCAGTTTTTTTCTTCTATTCTCTTTTCTTTATATCCTAATCATGATTAGGATGGATTTTGACATCTTGAACTTTATATAAACTATCCCAAAACAACTGTGATTGGGTGTATCTCACTTGCGTTTTGA